CTCCTTTGCTCTGGAAGTCTCCCAAGGCTTTAGTCAGTCCGGGGACCAAGTCGTCAGTAACCAAGCTTGAGCGTCTGCCGGGAAATTCCTAAATGGTACACTCCTGGGAGCTGCCCAGTCAAGCTCCTCTGTGAAGACATCTGTTGCCTTTTAGGTCTGTGAAGAACTTAGCACAATAACAACATTACCAATGGTAAATAGGAATTCAGAACACTCTGCATGCTTAACCACATGGCCATTTAATGTTATGGTTTGTTCTTTTTTCCCTGGTCCTTCCCTTTCTGTGCTCTTGGGTTGCTCTTGGCCTAAAGGCTCGATAGGATCCTTTTCTTCAGAGACTGTTCCAGTACTGCCCTTAGGTTATCCGTGATAGAGATCGAGCCCATGTCTAAAACTCAACACGGTCTAATTTTGTCAGAATGTATGAATTTTCATCTGACACTAGTCTAATGACATTCGGGGTCTGATCCTGTGAGATGCAAGTGTCCTTAGCATTCATTGACCACACAGTCAGGGCTTCGTAAGCTCAGACCTTGTGGTTTCATACTGAGTTAGAAGAGCCCTACAGATACAAAATATCCAGCCTCTAATCATTTCAGGTTCTGCACCAGTATCAGCAACTGCAAGAAGGTTAACTAAAACCGTGTGTACATGATGGAATATGCACAACTGAGCACTTGTAGTGAGATAATTATAATGCATTTTAATTTATTTTTACTAAGCATATTTCTACTCTCACCTAGTATAAAAATTCAAGCTTCCCTCGAATCAAGATGCAGAATCCTGTAAATCTGAAATGCTTCCTTCCAAAATTCAGTGCACATATAATGATTTTTAAACTGCAGTCTGATGTTTACAGAGTGCTGTAGCTGTTCTTCATTAACATACAACTGTGTAAGGCAGATTGAACTCCATTAGGAGCTAAATTTAGTGACTTGCTAACTTCTTTTTGATATGTTTTTATAATTTCATTGTATTATGACACTTGGTTTCAAATTTGCATGAGTAAATGAGCCTCTCACTAAGTCAGGTAAAAAGATTTTTCACTTATCTACCATGAAATAAGGTGTTTAAAAAAATAGTAAGATTAGAGAGTGATGCATCTTCGACACATTTATATTTTTTCAGCTGCGTTGACTGAACGTTTCTGAGCATTAATGATACAATAAATCTATTTGTATTACATTTAACGGGCTAAATAATTTACCATTACAAAGAATTTTATAATTAGCTTGCTATTTTGTTTAGGAACAATATTTTTAAAAAAATCCAGATTTACCTTTAATTTAAATACAAACCCTGAATCTCTTGGTGTGGTAATTCAGTGACTCAAATCTCAAATATTACTGTTCCTTTTCAAACAATAAAAATTAGTAGTTACGTTTCATATTAAAGAGCAACTTTCCAAAGGAGGACTCTAATTGTTTGTTTAGATAAGATTACTACAGTAAGCTAAATAATGTTGATTGATCAGTAAACCATTTACACTTAATTAATCACCATACAACACGTATTTACCCCCATTTAATGTTATCACATCTGTTAATATGTTTAATTTTCAATTTCTGTTTTATTAACATATGATCACGGATCATTCCATACCGACCAGGGCTGGGACTGGGTTTGACGTGGTAACCTGCAGGTGAATATCCTTATTTCTGATTACTCTGTTCCCTGGCTCTGCTAGTCTCTTTTGACGTCACTATTTTTCATCTCTGTTAGTTATTGATTTTTTTTATGCTGTGTCATTAGTAGTGACAGATGCTTTTAATTAAAAAAAAAAAAAAAACCCACAAGAGGAGAGCATTCTAATTTGGCATGACATTATGAGACAGAAGGGCTCCTGGCATGTGAGGTACATAAAAGGTCATCTTCCATTGCTACAGCCTTTTGGAATGGTGGAATTAAGTTCAAACTCGGGATGTTTTTGAAGTCTTAAATCTCTCTGGGGATGCCTTTCATAACATCTTCGAACTGGATAACACTACAGTAAATGAAATACACTGCACTGGATTAAAGGGTTATTTCCCTTGTGTGTCAAGCTGACACAGAATACTAAACCTCAGGTTGCTCCGAAGTCATCTCTATCTGCTGATACCCCCTCTCCTTTACATAACAGCTTGCAGAGCTTTTGCATGGAAGTTTGTGATTATTTATTCAGCTTCACTGCTTTGTGAATGTGGAACAATTTTATGCAGCAAGGAACCAAAATAAAGCAACTAAATGGGAGAAATCTAATGGGCTTAAAAATGTGAAAGAACTGATGCAGGGAAGAGCAGAGCTGCCTCTTCAGTTCCATTATGCTGCTCTATAATTTATACTGAAATACAAAATATAGATCTGTCTGCATTGCCACTCATATGTTTAGCAGCGCAGAGCTTGTGCTAACAACAGGGTATGATATATGCTCCTGTGGTCTTATCTGACTGTAGCAACAGTTACAATTGGTTAAGGGCCATTGCAGTGTGTTTTGTTGTAGAACAAATGTTCATTTTGACTTTGAACTTGGTACGCGCGTAGCCTGCGCAGATTGTATTTAGCATGGGGCAACCAAATCGGAACCATCTGTGCAGTGTTGGAGCTCTGCCAGGGATCACCATGGCTGAGCCCCAGAACAAGTATCTGTTTTTTCGAGGTGGGGAGGAAGGAACTGGGAAAGATAAAAAGATGTGCCACTTCAAATGTTGGCTAGGAAACCTGAATCAGCAACTCCTGTTTCATCTATCATGTGCTGAAGCCTGTTGCTCTGCAAACTTAAGTGAGATCCCATGTTGGCAGGTCAAGTTAAGCAGAAATAGGACCTCTGAGTTCAAAAAGCCAAATTCTAGTACAGCATCTTTCAACTCTTTCTGAATGTTCATAAATCCCCATCACTGCCTTTCCCCCACGTACCTAGTATTCTGAATAACTTAAAGAACTTTAAGGGTAGGCTGAAATATGAGTTGGGGAGTCTACACAAGGCTAACTCTAAGCTCAGTAAATTTCTGACATGTAAAAATTAACTTTTTCTTCCCTTTTCTTACTGGATCCAAGTTAAGCTGGAGTTATACTATTAGAAAGCTGAGAGTGTCCTTGCACAAAGGGGCATGGACATGATAAAGTGCATATTCTGTTCTCTTGGCAGGCTTTGGCATAAACAGTTTCTACCTGGCATGCTTATCATGCATTTCTCTGTAGCTCAGCCCTGTCTTCATAGTTCTTACTGTCTGGATACAGTTACTGATATAAATTCCTAAACTTGTAGTAATTTCACCCTGTTCTGTAATGAGCTGCTGGTGCTTGGTGTTGATGGTTGTTGGGACTCTGACTCTCAAGGCTCTTTCCTCCCCCTGCCCTTCATAGACATGCTATAATAAGGTTATGAAGATGGAAGGTGCAGCAGGCCTCTGGGAAACACTGTCAGGCATTCAGACTTTTCCTGGGGGAGGGGATAGCAAAAGCCCAGAACCAGATCTGGGGATGTCAGGTTTATTTTAGCTGGCTCTTCTTTTCAAGCTGGAGTACACATGGCTAAACCTGTGCAGCTGTCCCTGCCTGGAGGCCCCTCAGCCTTCTGAAAAGGCCAACAGCACCTGCTATTCCACTCAAATAACAAAGGTAGCGACAGCAACAACAAAAAGCTCTTCCAATTTACCTTAAAGGACTTTGTTTGTATCCTTTCTTTGCAGAGTGGTACTGTGATAAAATAGTTCTTTCATAATGGGCCATATATGCTGGATTGCAGCTAAGGTCATAAAAGAACCATCCAAAATACCAGTTTGTAACAGATGTTTTCTTGCTTGTGGCTGCTGTAAAAAAACAAGTGGGAGAATTTGTCTTTGAAATGCTATTTTGATGTGCATGGAAAGTTAGACTACAGATTTGAGACTTGAAGGTTATGACTTTGACTGTAACCTACAGGAATTAGGCACACAAATCCCACTGAAATCCAATGAGATTTGAGCTTCTCACTCACTTAGGCTTCTTTGAGAAATTCCAGCTTTAAATATTTTTGAAAACTAACAGTGCAGGTGAGAAGTACTGGGCTGACAGGAAACTGAAATTAATTCAGGTGCAAGCTAATCTGGCCCAGAAAACAGCAGTGCAAATGTCCCTGCATCTTGGCAGTGTGCTCTCATTGAGAACTCTCTCTCAGTGGACTGTACCGTAGCCAGTCTTCTGTGTACTGTTCTTAGGAAACCCAAATGCTAGGAATAGGACAGAAAGCACTAAGGCCTTTCACATGCAGCAGTGAACAGTCACATGGCTACATCACAGTATCCCTGAGTAGACTCAGATCAACAACCCAGAGGTGAAAGTTTCTGCAGCTTATTGCCACTGCCCTGGGACACCCAGCTTCCAAGCATCAGTGCTGTAAATTACAGGGGTTAGATGAATCTTTGGGGAGAATGAGGTTGCAGGCATGTTGTTAACTGAGTGTTTGGTTTCAAGTCAGACCATTTAATAGCTGTTGTTCTTTTTACCAGTGCTATGTGCACTTTCTATTTCAGATGTACCCTTCTGCCCATATGGCCTATTCCACCATCATGTCCAATCATCTTAGCAGCCTCCTTGGCCCCCTCCTACACATCAACCCTCACTTAGGATCCCGGGTCCTGACTGTTCATATAAAACAGCAAGTACCAAAATATAGTCTTTAAACCTCTGGGAGCAGTTCTTGTTAGACCACACCTGGTGGCTTTGTGCTCATCTTTTTTTGTTTCATGGCTTAACTTAAAGCCATAAATGAGGCCTCTCTCAAGTGAAACCTAGAATGAGCTGCACTCTGGCCACAAGTTGAATGCTAGGAGTGTCTTTATGGAAACACCTAGGGACAGAGCATAGTTTGAATGAGCAGCATTTTCCCGGAATACTTTTAAAAGAGACATCTCTCCAGGCATCAGGTTCATCTGTTTTCCGACTATATTCACATATAAACACCCACACACATTAACAATGTGGGAAATAATAGCTTTAGTTTTCTGTTGTCCGTGAGTAATTCATATTACTTACTTTATTAGGTTTACCTTTTATCTAACAATTTGGAAGCAGGAGGAAGGCAGGCAAATCTGGAAAGGATTCTGAACTGGTTTGCAGATTCCTTGAATGGATTGTGGGTGTGTTCATGCCCTCAATCCCTCTGCCGGCACAAGAGATATATAATGTCTGCAATTGAGGTATTATTTTTAAATGAAAGTTACATTTTGTACTGAGTCAATATTACTGCTAATAGTAACATTTCTCCTCATGGGCGTTGGGTACCATAGCAGTGGGCCATAGTAGGTAGGGGCCTGGGTATGGAGTCAGGAGCTCAGGGTTTTATTTCCAACTCTGTCAATTAGACTTTGTTTTTCTGTCATGCTTTAGTTTCTCCAGTCTGTCAAATGGGAATGGGAAGCTCACCAGGTTTGTGAAGCAGTTTACATGTCAGAAAAGTGCTATTTGAGCAGCATATATGGTTAACTTAAAGCCATAAATGAAGCCTCTCTCAAGTGAAATGCTTATTGTTGTGAGCATTATTAAATATTTTTGTTTATGTAGTGCTGTTGAGAATATGGTGCTTTAGAGAGCAAACAAGATCAGTTCCTGCCTCTAGAATTTTGCTACCTAAATTAGCATGTTCTGAAAACTTCTAAGACTTGATTATCTTTTTTCTTTTTTTTGCTCCATAAGAACTGAGGTGAGTGGTGTGTGTGTATGAGAGAGAGTTAATAATTGGATAGAAAAGTTTGGACAGTTTTAAACATAACAGTAATACTGTAATTTTCTGTTTTTTATCTCTGTTCTTTTAATCACCTAAAAATAAAGTTATTAAGATTTAAAACTGTAGTAGTAAAATTCAGTGCAATTGCTAGGGACAAATAGAAGGAAATAGCTCAAGACAGACACTTCACTTGGTTAGCAGATTACCATAAGAGCACATGTGCAAGCCAAGTGTGAAGTTGACAGAGGAGAGGTGTAAAAATAAATCTGATACTGTACATCAAACAGTGACACAAGGTATTCAAGGTACCAGACTCCTCACACTCACTGTATACCAGCCATGTACCCTGCAGTTTGTTGTTGTAGCTTTGTTTCGTGTGAGTATATGTGTAGATGGGATGCATGGGTCTGTGTGTGTTAGGGAAGAAAATGCTTATAAGAAACTATTCAGTTACAGCAGATGGCATGAAATGATACTGTTGCTTTGTGGGGTACGTGCTAAGCCCCAAATTTTATCGATAGTTAATCTCTCTCCATGATAACTCAGGCTTTTGTCGCAGTAGGGATTGAACGAATGTTGGCATAGGCTGTCTGTTGACAGTGCAGTGGAGTGTGGAAGGACCTCTTGCCTATTTGTGCAGGGTTATTGGGAGAGCTGAAGATTCCAGGATTTTCTACCATTTTTGCCTGATCTGAGCAGTTCTCTATACCTATTCTTGCTTAGTTAATACAGCTTATAACAGCAATTTTAAATGAGATGGGCTTGGATTTTGCCCTAATAAAGTACTCCCTTCCCAGCAATTCTTTTTGCTCATCTTGATTCCTGAAACACTTAATTTTCCTCTTGCTGTCTCAGTTCTGGCCCCATTGCCACGCTCTCTTTGGGAAGCAAACCTGCAACTGGTTTCTTCTGTCACTCCCATTACTCCATATGTTATCAAATGTTGAAGACAAGCATTTCCACATGCTGGCACATGTCTCTATAGACCTCTTGAGCATATATTGACAACAACTTACAGAAGCAGGATATTGGCTGCCATGGTTCTCCTGCTTTACCTGTGCTAGGTTATGGTGTTCAGTCTATGTTGTGCCAGGGTTGATGGTAGTCTTATGTAGAGCTTAGATTATGGTTTGTATGAGATGGTTTGGATAGGGCTGATCTTGCCTCAGGCAGGGGTTTGGATTAGACGACCTACGGAGGTGCCTTCCAGCCCTACTTCTCTGTGATCTGCCTAGATAGAGTAAGTTCTGAGGGTGAGCCCAATTTAACAAACGTGCCCAGTGCATTGTCTGGCATCCTGTGAATTAAAAGCAGAACCGTTCTTTGCTGCTGTTTCTGCTGGCATTTAAAGAGCTGTGTCTCCTTCCCCCCACCCTCGTGTTTTGTTTTACAAATTTCTCCATACCATTGACAGCTGCATTCTCCTTGGTGTTTCTGATATTTGTATGTATGTGAAAAAACAGCAGGGAGCATTTATGTAGGTGTCACTAATTTAATTTAATCGGATATGTATGTATATGAAAGAATATTCCCCACTAAATTGTTTCTCTTTACTTTACAGTCTCCTTTATCATCAAGTGCAAATCTATCTACTTGTCACCTACCCAAAGACCAAATTTGGAAAATATAACCCAAAGGGAGGCCCACATCTCACACACAGCAGAGACAGCGGAATGGTGTTGGAATATTTAAGGGTAAGTAACATTTTCTTTCCTTTTTTCCTCCTCTATCCTTACCTTCCCTTGTTTGAACTTGAGTGTTGAAGTCTAACTTTTTGGTGCTGCCTGATGGGCAATACAAGATGAGCCATGTAGGGACATAGCTTGTTATTAGAGCTAATATACAGGAATGAATGAAAACAGCTATTGTGAATGGAAGCACAGTTATGTGTTTTACTTGGATGGCATACATTTGCCTGAATTAAGGGAACGCTGCAATGAAGGAGGGGTTTTGAACATTCTCATGGTGCACAGTTCTGTTTTTTTTTCTTCTCATTCACTTCTGATGCATCTTGGACTTGGGAAAGGGATAACTTTTGTCAGCGTTATTTTATTTGGCCCTCTGTTGCATTCTAAAATCAGAGGTTCACAGGGTTGGAAGGGATCTTAAAGGTCATCTGGTCTGTCTCCTCCTCTGTTTGGTTTTGGTAAATTTACCAAGAGGGAAACACAGTCCTTCGGTGTTTTCTCAGTTGAGAGATTAGTACATCCTAATAACAATTGGATTACTGGGTTTTCCAGAATCCTTCCATAGGCAAGCATTTGGTGGAGAATGGAAGAGAAATCAGCCTACAATATGTAGCAGATCAGTTTACCATCTAACAGGAAATGTATCATTTAGCCCTTAGTGAACTGACTGCTGAGCTCTCCCTTCCCTGGGGGAGGGATAAGGTAGAATAATTGACAAAACTAGCATTTGTTAGATGAAATAAAGACCAAGGATTAGTGTCTCTAAACGTTAGAAAACAACATTTCAAGGGTGGGTCAAGGTGTGTTGCTTGCCTGTGTCCCTATTTTCACAGATGATAGTTTACAGGAAAGTGGGATGCACAGTTGCTCACATTTGAAAACGTGGCTATTTGTGTTTGGGTTTCATGCTTTATTGCTGCTATTTTTGTAATGCATGTTCATGCAATATTCATAACTTTGAGGGCATCTCAAATCCCTGCTTCTGAGTCAAAAAGGGAAAATATGAAACTGAAAGGAGAGATCATATCATTTAAGAAATGCAATTCATGAATTAATCCTCGTCTGCTGTGCCATCTGTGGCATGAATCTCAATACAAAAATCTTTTTTTTATATCTCTTTAAAGAGCTGTGTTCTAACTGGCTGCCTGAGTTTTCTGTGATGCTCATAAGAAATCAGCTTTTTTTGGTCGTTTTTATTTCTACACCCAGTAAGCTATGTGGACAAAGGCAAGGGTGCATAGAAAACATGTGGGTAAGCGGGACCCCATTTTGTAATGCAATTAGTGCCAGGGTATGTTGTGAGACTAACTTCCAGACAAAGCCAGGAAGTGATTGCCTTTTGGGCTGAAGTCTGTTCAGCTCTTTCTGCAGTCTCGGTATAACTGGTGCAAATCATTGTGGGCATGGGTGATGGTCTGTGGACAGCTACCTGATTTTTGGATTCAGTCAGCTAGTCTGATGTCTCAGTCACTTTGTTGGGAATGCCAGGTTAACAGCTGTCTCAAATCAGTGGCTTTTTACAGTATCTGACAAGTCCAACTCCTAGGATCCTGTGGCCGGATTGTTCCTCTTGCACATTTCTTAGTGCTTTGTCCAATCTTGTATAAAATAGCCAGAGTGACACTTTCTGAGAGGAGCTGTTGTGGCGTGTGTGCGTGTGGCTAGGATAGGATTATCTCATTTTCTAGATATCCTATCCGAGTCCTATCCCCTGAACTCTCTCCTCTGTGGTACTGAACTTTTGTGTTACTTCCCAGCCTCTCACAGGTAAAGTTTTTGCTTTTGTGTATGTGATTTTTGGGGTTTTTGTTTTTCAGGTTTCCATTCATAAATTACTCCAGCACATATCATTTACTGAGGCAGCTATATGCCTCCTTACTCTCATTTCCTGCATTTTGCAACTATGGCCCTTGCTCAGGAAAGCATCTAGCCATGTTTGTGACTGTCCTTCTGAATGGGCATGCTTTCCTGAATTCTTTCCTCTGTTTCTGTCTCTCTCATACTCTTTTCTTTGGGGGAAGCCAGTAAACGCCTGGACAAGTTCTTCTTGGCTCTCTAGGAAGCTCTGTGATAGCTGCAGGGAAATTTCAGGCTCCTAAGAAGCCCCAAGCAACCCTGGTGTTAGCTATCCCCTATATGCTTCATCATAGTTTCAGCACAGAGTAGTAGAAGTGCATCCACTTTGCTGGTTCTCTTCATTGATGATGTCACTAATGTACTGTAACTACAGCACCAGTGAGATACAAGACATGGATAACACTGATAGATTGAGGTTATCCAGGAACTCAGCATGGAGGGTGAAATATTACAGGTTTATTGCCTTTCCATTCATTTTGTTCTTACGCCTTTCTGCCTGGCTGACTCATTGCCATTCGGCCTCTGTTTGCAATTTCTGTCTGCCACAGTAATGCCCATTGGACAGTGTTTGGAAAGCACTGATGACTGTGACCAGGTCACTTGGCTTTTCAGTACCCAAGCACTGATAGCCATCATAGGAAAGGACTGCTGTTCCAAAAAATACAACATTAGAGGTGCCATTTGCAAAAGCACAAAGAAGAACCACAGTTTTTAAAATGAACTGTAAGCTGAAGAAATATACATTGTGTAGTGCCCCAAGGGCAGCCAGACTCCAGAACTGATACGAGTTCTCTCTACTGACAAAGCCTTACTGCAGCTACAGAGCGCCCAAGCATAGGCTCTGGCAGCAAAAATCTCCCAGCTGATGCTAGCTACCATGACAGAGTGAATGCTGAGAGAGGGATAAAAGCAAGGTTATTCAAATATATTGTTATTTATTTAACAATCAGGAGCCAGGCCTTTTAGGGGCTAAAGGTTGTGCTTAAGAACTGGTTTTCCTTCCTCCTTTGTCTAATGCACTGAAAAAAAGCAAAGTGTCATGGCCATGCGTCGAATCCAGGAATAAGCAGCCAGCTTAACTAATACTGTTAATAGCTTCGCATCTGACTCCAAGAATTGAGAGCCCACCAGAATAGACCCTGTCCTTACTGGCAGATTTAATGCTGCAATAAATGACTGGATGTAAAAGAAAAAAGATTACAAAGGGTGAGACCTCAAGTGTTTGATGCAAAACCAAATTAAAGACTAAATTACATAACAGCTAATTGGGTATAGTTGCAGGAATGTGGATCAAAGTCAATAAGCTACCTATTTTTTTTCTCTCTCGTTCTCACAAACATTCAAGTTTATACTTTCACAACCTTTCTTAGCAACACTGGCCAGCTTATTTGATATCTTTATAACACTTTGTAACTGTCTTAGAAATCAACCCTTAATTGCTTCCTTGATATTTTTTTTTTTTTTTAAATCTCTACATTTATGCCTGATTGTTTTTGCTCTTCTTTAAGGTTTGTGAAATGCAAACAGTTCTGTCTGAATCTGTTTTTGATATACCCTGTAAATTTCCAGCTTTCTGATAGATGCATCATCTCTCAGCCATGTGGGGAAGGGTTCAATCCCATGGCATGAGCACTTGCCACTTCACAGGCAAGATTTTTTTTTTCTTGAAATGAAGATTGCTGACTTTTTAGTCTGAGGTGGGTCTCACGCTTGCATACCAGGGGTGAGAACTTGCAGAATAACTCTGAATGCAAAACGCTTGTAAACCACCATAAAAGGTGTCATTTAAATAAATAAATAAATAAAACAGTAAAAGGTTAAAAAAATAACCTGACTGAAACAAAGAAATCAAAGCGCTTAAAAACATTTTGACAGACTATGTTGCTTCATCCAGAGCTTGAAACAAAAATCATTTTGTTTTTAAGTTCTGATGAAAAGTCAACAGCTGTGTATAAAAGAAGAAATGTTTACACTGAAAAGCACAGCTTAAGGCCGTATTTTCACAGGAATGTACGTTTATAAGTGAGGGGGCTCCTTTGCGCATACCAGTGGAATACTCCTCTGGTTTACACTCTGTTTCTTTTTAAGGTCTCTCCAGATTAGCAAGGGCCTCTGATTGTTACGTTGTAAGTGACTGCTACCTCCCAAGCAGTCTGCTACAGATGGGAGGGATGACAAGTTCCACTTACAGTGTCACCGCACAGAGGCAGAGGACACGTGATGGCAGCTGATTCTTGCAGAAAGATAATGAAGAGATGAGGAGCATCAATTCATGATCTATTCGTTAGGACCCCAGTGAAACAGCTGCTTGTTTCTCATAAACCAATTTGCAACCTGGCATAATTATTTATGTCTCTGCATACTTTTGGGATGGAGAAAAATAAGGCAGGGATAGCAGGAAAAAATCATATGGGATATGAGATCATAGATGCCTAGGGGATCAAATTAAAGAGCATTTTAGGGGGAAGGTAGAGGTGTTGGCAATAATTAGTTTGCTTCTGATTTCAGTATGTGCATGAGCCTGGATTTGTTGCTGGGGGGAGAGAGGGCGCATCTCCCAGGTGCAGGTTCCCAATAAAAATAAAAATATTGTCAAATGCAGTGTCAGAAGAATGGAGTCCGGAAGAACAGGGATACAGTGCACACTCTCCATGCTCAAAACAGCCAGTGCTCCATCTAGCTAAAAGACAGCACTTAATTTTCTCCCCTCTCAGTCATTCCACCCCACTTCCCTCACTGAGCATAGTGGACACTGCCACCATGCTGCCCTTTGCTCAGACCTATACCCTAGATGCCGTTGTCAGCTGGGGCCTCTCTGTAGGTTCTTCCATCTGTGTTTTAGCCTTGCAGATATTTCTGTATAATCACTGTAAGCTGTGGCCTTTCCTACCCATCCACACAATTAAAGCTCTCTTTCAGGCTAGGGACAGACATTACACATAAACTGGCTTAAGTGATCAGAAACTGGTTTAAACCTGTAACAGAACAGATGTTCAGTGCACATAAACCAGTTTGAAAATGTCTGAAACCAGTTTGAGATAAACCTGGTTGAATGTAGTATCAGGCTTAACTGATTTGGCTCAAACCGGTTTATGCAATGTCTGTCCCAGACCCCTTTCTGGTTTAAGATGAAAACAGACTCCCCTAGCATCCTGGCATGCTCTCTGAGCTGGGCAGGGTTCTCTGCTCCACAGCAGAGCTGGTCTCTCCCCTCTGCTCCCTGGCTGCAGTTCTGGCAGAGACTGCAGACACAGCAGGGTCTGCCTGGCTTCCCCCTTCCCTGCCCCCCACCTCACTGCTCGCTGCTGAAGCAGAAATCCCCCACTTCCTCCCTCCCATCTCCCACAGCACAGACCCTAGGCATGTGGTATGCTAGCTAATGCTGTGAGGTGTCTGTGTGCATCTCCAATTTCACTGGGACAGGCAGAGGTCAGCTGGTAAGCTGTTTAAGAACAGTTTTAACTAATGGAGAGAGGCTGTTGTTTTGCTGATGAGGTGATAAACACTGTTATCAGGTCCCTGCTGACTTGCTTGACTGTCAGTTTGCTGCAGACAGTATAAAGAAGCAGGGAGGAAAATTTAAAAGCTCTGTATCATCAACAGATGCATGGACTGCACATGCCTCCTTGCCTCACAGTGCTAGCAGGGGTCTGAGGTCTGGCAACACTCTCACCCTTTGAGCAGCCAGCAGGGAAAAGCCTGGGATGGTGCAGGCAGGTCTCCCTAATCAAAGGTTCTGCTGAGGCCTGTCCACTCCCCACCCTCAGCTCAGTCCTGCGCAAGGGAAGGAAGGGCTGCTCTCGCACCCCCAAGCTTTTAGCCTGAGCTCCTGCACAGGCATGTGTCTGAATTGCCTCAGTCCAGAGAGAATTTCTGTCCAGTTACAAACCAGTTCAGCCTAGCCAAGTTAGACTAAGCTGCAAAGATTGAATCAATTCAGGCCCAGGCTTTTTGAATGTCTGTCCCTAGCCTCAGGCACTCATTTTGCATCTTGATTACTGCAACAGCCTTCCCACCAGTCTTGACAAATGCAGTCATGTCCTGCTTGTATCCAGTCAGAATGCTGCTTGAAAGATCATCTCTCAGCCTGTTGCTTTAACCACATTGCTCCTCTTTACATCTCTATGCTGGATCCTTCTTTTCTGTTGCATCAAATGCAAGCAGCTTGTCTTGTTTCAAAGGTCCTTTTCACTCTCCCCTTCACCTGTCACCCCTATTCAGCACTGAAATACTGACTCCTGTCTCCAACTGGTCCATGATACCAGTCTCCATCACTTCCAAGTTAAATATACAAACAAGCCCTATTATGCTTTGTCCTTTATGGCCCCTCGTGCTCCACAAATATCCATACATATCTGTATCTACAAATGTCTGTAAAGCCACCTCATTATCTTCCCTCAGATTCCTCCTTAAAACTGTCCTTTGTCATGATGCATACAAAAATGTTGCCCACTGATGAACTGGGAACTACCCGGCTGACAGGTACTGCCTACTGACAGCGTGCCCGTCTATGTCCAGCCATTGTCTGTTTTCTTTCACCTAGATTGTAAGTACTTTTGGGGTAGGGATCATGTTTTGGATTCTGTGCATAACAGTGCTGCTCTGTGACCAGGGCTCCTGCCTGCTATGGGAATGCAAGTAATAAGTATTAATGGTTAGAGCAGGTGCCCGGCACAGATCATAGTCCATAGTGCTCACTTGGCAGAAACTGCTGGTCTGGCTTAGAATGAGTGCTAATGCATGTGATATTATATGTGAGGGATGTTACTTCTAACATGACTGGTTTTTCCTTTTAAAAGCCAACCACTGTCTTGCCTAACTTGTCTCTTCTGAGTGACCTGTGTATTCTGGGTGTTAATAAGCACCAAACAGGTCCTGTCCAATGGGTATAGACTCTTTCTCTTCTTCCT